AGCAGTAGTAGTAGTAGCAGTCGTCGTCGTCGTCCTTCGTCGAAGTATGCAAAAGTGGTAGGGGTAGAAGACCCATGACCACTAGCACGGTTCATGGGCCGTCGATGTGGCTGTCTGCTTCATAAGAGTAGGTCTCGGGTACTTTGAATGTGTGGTGAGGAGTGGATGTGCAGGTAAGACGGGCAATACACTGAGGCCAAACCTGCGAGCAAAACCGAACAACTTCTCGGCGACGGCTTTCTTGCATCCGGAGGCGCGTGGTGGCCTGTGGGCAGTAGCCACCCATCAAGCCTTGGAAGTCAACAAAGCCGTGGGGGGCCAGAAAAGGCTCTAGGGTTGGGGTTAAGCGCCCTTAAACGCTGTGTAGACTTTGTGCCCGAACTTGAACCCCTACACATCCTCTGTACTGTATAGTGTAGCCTGTGGTGACGGCGTTGTGGTTCAGAAGCTCAGAATCTCTGGCGGACTCACACAGCCAACCCCGGCTGCGAAAGCTGTGCCCATGCCGAAGAGTTGCTCAAGAACACAGGACAGTACCCACAGCGGTAGTAGAGGAGGCTAAGTTCAACTTACTTATCTCAATGCGGAGTTTGTATCTCTCCTGCAGCTTGGAAACGGTGCGTGCCGTCTGCAGACCATGACGGCACGCAGTATGCCTCGCCGGCAGGTAGGAGTTGTGCTTCTGCAGGACACGAACTTTCATGATAGCGAGATGGTGCGATGAGGAGCGAAATCATTCGGCTGCATGTCTGCTGTAAACCAGGAAAGGGGAAAGAGCTCAAGCGTTCAAAGGGCAGCGTAGACTTGACTTGAAATCCACTTTCCGGAAAGACAGCTGATGCACTTGCAAACCAAGTCGGCGGGCCACGAAGGCACCAAAACGAAACACGCTGCTGTGAATCTACCGGACGAGGCCCTAAACCCACGGGAGAACGCCTTTAGCCACAAGTTGTCAGCCGGGAGGTCGAGATCTTCGCATGTCCTTCAACACCACAAGGTTTCGAGATGCGCGTCAGCTGAGATTCGGCTGCTGGGGATGGACAAGTTCAGTGGTGTTTGCGACGGATTATAGCACAGTTAGTTCTAGAGGGACCATAAGTAGTGGGATACTGTTAATTCAGAGGTGTCCTGGTCAGATGTTGCGGACCAGGCTCCGTAGACACCAAGAACAAACCTCTGGGATCCCAACAGAAGCAGCCGAAAAGAGCCCAAACCAAAGCACAGTGGCCTTGAGCCGAGCTAGAATCTGAAAGCCCGACAAAGAAACACTGAACCCTCGTTTTATGGAATCCTTAAGGGAGGGGGTTCTAAGGGGGGTATATAACCCAGTAATCCCCAATTCTCCCTAGACCCTCCCCCGTTCAGCCACCCTCCCGTAAGGATCCTATAATCGCTGGAAAACGACCAGACTGTATACCTCCACCCAAACCCGAAACCCTCTCAAGCCATTAGGTTCCCCACTCTCCCTCACCCCGGCAGAGCTCCCTGTGGCAGCCATCTCTGAACACTTGCCGTCTTCCTTCACCTGCGAGCCTGGTGCCTTGGCTGGAAAAGGTAGGTAACAACACTGCCACTACTGCCACTTGCTGCTGCTACTGCGACAACTGCTGCTGCTGCT